GGAATTTAGTACTCGAACAGAAAATAATGCTTACAATTATTATGTTGTTAAAGAAATGGAGGGAAGTTCAGCATAGGAGATATTCTTTTCAATCATGTCATGTCTTCAAAGCAATGCTCGTATATCCTGGTACAACCGAGTAAACAATGCTGAGGTCAGGAAACCAATACTAGGTAAGGATTGTAGGTCAATAAATGAAGTAGTGAAGCTTCATCGGTTTAGGTGGTTGGGACATGTGTTACGTATGCCCAATCACCGATTGCCTCGATGAGCTATGTTTTGTGGTGTAGGAGAAGGTTGGAAGAAAGCTAGGGGCGGCCAGACCAAAACGTGAAACAAATCCATAAAGTCACATTCTAATCTTCTGCATTCATCATGAAGTTTTGTTCTTTGTATAAATTTATTTTACCGGATTATGATTCTGGAATAATATTTCTGAATCTTATTCTTTGTAACTACCGCTAACACTTCTACTACCCCTACTACCATGGGATTCGAATTAACTAATGTGTCTCTGTGATAATGTGGTATGGCAACTTGAACTGACGTACGTACCTACGACTTTCTACGTGGTAACTGACTGATCGATTAGGATTTTTACTATTTGATGAACCGATTTTTGGCTAACAGACAGCAAGGATAAAACTGCTTATCGACAAATGATATGCATTGGTACAACGTATCACTTGAAGCTCATGAAGAAATGAACATGTTTTCAAAAAAAGGAATTACAGTCATGGTGCATTTGGAGGAATTTCAGGCTAGAATTTACATGATGCTAAACAGTACTGTGCCCCGTCATGTATTCAACTTATACTCGCTTATAAATAGTGCATTCAATCCTGTTTGAAATTTTAAAAGATACACTTCAATTGAAGCTATGTTACAAGATTTGATGTGTTCAAAAATCAAAGTAACAGCTAGGAAAAAAAGGAAGCTCTCTGTTGGTGGTCTCCATAGTCCATATCTTGTATTGCATCAGTGGGCCCATCGAAAAAAACCCAGTAATTATCGAAAAATCACAAGGACAACGTATAATTGAGTTCAATGCTAGTAATGTTCTACAGTTGATTAAAACCTAATTCTTATCTAAAATACTTACTTCTCTTCAAGACAACTTGCTGATAAACAACCTAATGAGGAAAAAACAGATTCCACTTGTGAAACAATTGTCATTGGATCATTGGCTGAAGAACTAGGCGAAGTTAGTGGACGTGATGAACAAAGTGATACAGAACGAGAAATTGGCGGTGGAAGTGGTAGAGCAGTATGAGCATTACGAAGTTGTTGTACAATTTCAGGGCAAATAGTAACAATAGATTGTAATGATAAACGATTCCAATTGCGTAAATCATCTGCGTCCACTTTTTCACCGGTCTGAAGACGACAGAACAAAGGTTACTTGATAATAACAAAAAATAATAGTAGAAATAATTAGATTAAAATGGTGATACAAATTTGTATATTATTCCCAATATGGGATAGTGAACAATTCGGTCTCGTGTGCTATTACGGATATAAGGGTGGATGTCCTTTCCTGGCAACCCACATCGTAGAGGGGCGTTTCTTGAAGAATATGAAAGGAAAGGTAGATTAGTGTCGGTCTTAGGGGCCTGGGAGCGTTACTGTAGAGCCCAAAGGGCAACTGCTTTGGGTCGGTCACGCATGGACTTTTCATGGGAAGTTTTTAACGGGCTAGTTCTACTCCCAAAAAGGCCTTACAGCCGGAGACGAAATTTCGTGAAGTAAGGTGAGGTGTGACATTTTTAGGGTCGATTAATGCTAACCCCTTCCTTCCTTGTCAGAACGCAGCATCGCTGCAAATGTTGGTTGTCCTAAGGAAACACCTTACTACTGTCACATCTCTCTACATGTGAGCAGTATGACATCATCCACAGACCTTGAGTCAATCGACCTGTCTGGCATGGTAGAACCTACAGGAACATATGTTCCAGCCAATATAGCTCGGTTAGGTCATCACGATAAACATGCCCGACCACCACGACGAGGTAGCAGTTATGGAAAATAGAAATGGAGGTAGGTCAACCAATCAATTTAGAAGTGGATTTGTTTTTTTTTCACTTCACCGACTTTTTACTAGTTACATCTCATCCAAATAAAATTAATGACTTTAGTGAGATATCTCTAGATTAGGATAAAAAATTTGATCCTGACTAATCCTACTCTAAGTTTTAATTACATAAGCTGTCTACTAGGAGGTCGCATGTGTCGAACCTCCCCCTATTGATTCCAGTTTAGGCATGTAAATAGTAGCGTCATATTAGCGGTAATGCAAACAATATTTAACTGGGAATAAGGTTACATAGACATGAACTTAACAAATGAGTTACATTAAAAAAAAGTATTATTGAGTAAACACTAATGACATTATTAACTGATTGAGTAAATTTCGGTAGGTGGAATACGGTTGCTTAATCATGGAAATCAATAACTTCCTGTCTAAATTGACTAAGCCGGCTTCTTATAAAGGTGAACCTCAATCAATTATTGACTAAATATATCATTTCTATTATTCCACTTTTATTTAAAACAAAAAATAAAGGGTGTAATTTAACCGTTGTTGAACTATGCAAATAAGGCAACTTGTATCGGAGTAAAAAATAACATAGGTCGACATATAAGCATACACGATCATAAATAATATCACAAAACCAAATGATAAATAGACTTTGTGTATGGTGTGATTATTGCATTACTAATGAAGCAATTCATTATCCATAACATATCAGTGTTTTAAACAGTGAAATAATCACATAGTGTAGTGAATGACAGATAAGGCGATATATTACTAGTATTCCTTGCTATCTTCAATACTTCCGATATCGGAATGTATAATTCAGTCGTAAACATATATATATATATATTCCTAGATGGTCAATCAATATACATTATGTATTTTCAGGTCAGAGCGGTAGCTTAATTATTGGTCAAGGTGTTTGCATTTTAGTCATTAAGCTTTAGGTTCGAACATTGCTTCGCCTAATTCACTTTCCGCAGCCAGGCAGTATTCATAGCTCTCATACTTAGGATGTGGCTCATATTTAAATAACTGGTGAATGAGTAGATGATATTGTAATTATTATTCTGGGTAATTTTATAGAAAAGAAAACTATACAGAGGATACACACACATAAACGTCCGAGACGTCCTGTACCATATGCTGCTCTTGAGCCTCAACGAAACCTATCGGTAGAGAAACAGTTCGATCGACATCATGGGGCATAAAGACGGTTGTTCACAAATATGGCACGTACAAAGCAGACGGCTCGTAAGAGTATTGGCGGCAAGGCACCTAGGAAGCAGTCGGACCCTAGCACCAGATCCTACGAATCTGCTCAGACGGGAGGTGTTAGTGGGACATGGATTGGATTAAAAATGATCGCGTTGTTGCACGCTGATTGGCACTTTCGTATCCAATCCGCGCTGAGGGAACATTCTAGAATCTTCTCGTGTAAGAAAACTATTAATATACTGACGTCTTTTTCCTTTCGAACTTCTGTCTTCCTCCTAACCTTGTTGTTGGAATATAATCTAATTCCTGTGCGACCGTGTTCTGATTTGGGAGAAGTCTCGAGTGAATTGGTGTCCGAGAATACTAAGCATTAGGAATAGCTGGGTTGTAATAGAGAGAATTATAAAATAACTAGAGAACGATTTTTAGCAGCCCTAGATGCCGTGGTACGAATGAGAGTAAGGAGAGTTTACCCTCTCTCTCTCTTTTAAAATGTTCTCATATAGCCATGGGTATATAGCCACTGTCAAGAAAGTTCGACCCAATACCTTTTCGTGGTGATGTTGATTTACGATTGAGAGGACGAAAAGCGAATGCCTGGTACTTTAGCTGAGTTAGTGGAAACAGAGTTTGAAAACCTTATTTCCAAACCAACGGTGTAGACGGGCTTCAGGATTCTGACGAAACAAATTGAGTATGAACCTATTGGTCACCAGCTACCATGGAATCGCATCTCCTAAGGTTGCTCTACTGACACGTGGATTAGATTTTCCGGTCAAAGGCTTGGAGAATGGCCATTTAGGAAAATCACCTGCTTCAGTTTGGGCGTCCGAGCAATGTTCTTATCCACTCACAAATTCAATAATTTGTGTGGCACATCAATATTTAGGTACTCTTTTATACAAACTTTAATGTGTTTAAACACTAATTTAAACAAACACATGGAGATTACTATTACTCAGAAACGATAAAGAGAGCTATCATGAATCGGTTAAATTTAAACATATAATATGAATTAGTAAATTAAAAGTGTTTAAAAACCAATGAAAAGTAAAGAAGTGAAAATATAATATCAGTTGTAGTAGTAGTAGTAGTAAATAACTATGCTAATGTGATCAATTCCGAAACATGTCAACAGAATTAAGACGGTCAATCTATAGGATTCAGATTATCTTGTGGAATTCATTTAGCGTAACATTGTAATTTTCAGTGGGGACAACTAATGGATTTGGGGAGTAACGATAGATTTAGTACCTAGCAGTATTAGTAATGTTCCTCACTTACTTACACCTGTTAGCCCTAATGGAGTATTGGCCGCCAACCAGCCTTCTTCAACCAACTCTGACCTAGAGCTTACTTTTTCATCCTACCTAATTGCTATTCATTCCTTTCAGCCCTGTTTCTGATTCTCGGTGCAGTGTGTTCCTTGGCCTATCTCTTTTCCTTAGGTCTTGAGGACTATAAGTTAGGGCTTGTATCGTGATGCAGTTGGGTGCTTTCGTTATGTTTGGCCAACCCAAGTATAGCGTTTTTTCCTAATTTATTCCTCAGCTGGAATCTAGGTTGTTATCAGCCACAGTAGGTTGTTGCTGATGGTGTTTGACCAATGGATCCGCAGTATTTTGCGTAGACCACTGTTATTAAACACCTGTATCTTGTGGATGATGGCTTTCCTAGTTCTACAAGTTTCCTTAGGTATACGGTAGTGTCCAAGAAGCTTCCGAAGTGTCATCCTGTCTAATACTGTTCCAGTTTACTACAAATTTGTCTGACATTACAAGTTGACAATTCGAAATATACAACCAGTACGTGTCCTGACCACTTCGCTTAACCGTGAACTCACACCACAACTAACCTCAGTACCATTAACTCAATTATTGGTAAGGGATAAATAATATTGCCATTTGATTGGGACAGAGAGAGTTGTAGGAACAAAATTAGACTTTTGTTAGGAGTGTGAATGGAATATTTTCTAAAGTCTAGCCAGTCATAATTTATGTAGAGCGTCTGAAATGTAAGTCTATCGACCCATTTTGTTACAGTACAACCATACAATATGTACATTATTTTTTAAACATTGGTACAAGGGAGTACCAAAATATATATGCGCTACAACTACTTTAAGTGGATTCTCTGTACCCACAAACACAGTAATGCAAGTATAAAATGAATAGCTAAGTAGATTGAATCATGATAGCATTAATAAAAAATAGCAGAAGGTCAGTCAATTGTGGAATATGGTTTGAAAAGGAGAAATAAAATTTGACGAAGTAAAATGTTAGCGATAATAATGAAAATCGCAAAGAATAAAAACATAGGCCGTGACCAGTGACTTTCCCATTGATTCATCTATAATCTCATACTAAATGATCACGGTAATAACGCGAACTCCAATCATACAGACTACATTTATGAACAATAGTCAGTGACTTCATAGACTGATGACACATGATGCTAATACCGCCCGAAATTTACACCAAAACCATTCAGCGCTATGCTACAGCATCGATAATAAAATTTTCTTTTGCATAATAATCAAACCACATTGAACTCAATCAGTAAAAAATGAGCAACGAATAGAGAGAAGAAAAAAACACATTGCTTACTTGATACATTTGAGCTAACACATAAGTATGATTACCACCGGAGAATATTCGACGTACTACGTAAGGCTTGCCTGAAGCAGAATCATTGCCAACAGTAGACTGTTTACTATTGAGTTCGTCAGACGAAACCCAGTTTCCTTGATGGAGGAGGGGACAGAAAAGAAAAAAAATAGTATGCATGGAATCAACATAATCATCCACACTGATATAATGAATCAAGTCTGACAGTAATGCACTAATTCGATTAGAGAATGGATGACTTTTCTTACAATATTCACTAATCACTCGATTTTTAATTTAAATGACTTCTAATTAGGCTTATTCTTCTGTTTAATATTTTGTACATAAGTGCATTATTTTATTAGAAAAAGATAAGTTATCCTCCCAGACAGCTGTCCAGTTTAGCTGATAGAAAATGAAAAGCTTTATTTATGCTGATATCATAATTTGGTTTCAACAGCAGTTAATAAACACCTAGACTATACTGTATACTTATCATCCATTTAACAAACTTCAAATATCACATTAAAGACTATTAGAGGTAAACTTATGGCACAAAAAGTAACATAAAGTGATTATAATTACCTTTAACTCGACAAGGTAATAAACGATTTTTTGTATCACCCATACCAAGTTGTGCATTAGTGCCTTGACCAAATGCAAATAATCGACCAGTTTTTGGAATTAACGCCAATGTATGAAATCGACCACAAGCTACTTGAGTGATCACATTACCCATAAATTCAGTAATTTTACGTGGTACAGATATACCAATCGTAGATTCATTATGACCTAGCTGGCCATATCTGAAAAATAACAACATTCGATGAAACTGAAATAGGGAGATGGAAAAGAAGTAAGTAGGGTGAAAACACCGCGTAAATGTGATTGGATATTTGGGAAGCAACAACACCAATTGATAGACTAAATCAATCGGATAAGAATAATCAAACATATTAGATGGCTATTCAACTCATTCGAAATCGGTCCAACTATAACATGCAATATGGTGACTCGTCTTAAGAACTTATGTGTGATGTAGGTTACACAACATGAATATTTCAGATAATCAAAGTGGGCAGTCAGTCAGTTACAACGTAGAACTTCGTACGTACGTACATCACTTAAGATTGCTATACCGCATTAGCACAGAGACGCATCTGTCAGTTCAAATCCCATAGTGGTAGAGATAGTAGAAGAATTAGAGATCGAAGATATTATGCGAGAAGCTTAGTTCAGTGAGATAACTTTAGGAAGAGAAAGATAGAGATGAGATGTGGAATTCTGAAGATTAGAATTTGAAAGAGCACAAAGAGTGGATGCACCAGCGCCACTGCAAACGATATCTTCAACTAAAAAATACGACAGTATTTGCAGTTGTTGTGGATAAGATCTACAGCGTGATTATTCACTCTATAGAGAATGACTCACTACAACAGTGGATATAACAAGTAGTCGCTAATTGACTGAAGTTGGAAATACAAACTGTTGGGTTCCGCGGTTTAGTAATGAATGCATTAATTGTGCAGTCTGACAGTCTCAGATTTGAAACCTAAAGGCTTTGTCAGTAAGCACTATTGAAGAGCCAAATTGAAGCAAGTATTCAAATTAGGTAGATGAAGTTATCAAGTTGTATGAATGAAAATCAATTCCACTAGTAGCATACATTGATCACGTATCATCTTGTATTAAGCATAAAATATCTGATTACATTATACTTAGTAAATCCTAGTTTTGTGTACTATTTGTCAATTTTCTTATTACCAGTAATAAATAAGAATGACACGTAGTACTACTACTCTTTATACTCTATTCGTATTAAGTTTGTTTCAAAAAGAAATAGAATTTGGTTGTGCATACAAGAAAAGAGTAACGTTGTTTTAGAATTTGATTTCAAAGAAAAGAAAATAACCACAATAAATTGGATAAAGGGATTACAAAAAGATTAGATTTAATTTTTAGGTGGTACTTTTCATAAACAGAACTCAGTCACAGTACTCTCTCAAGTTACAGGGACCTTGGATTCGATTTTGGACAAGTGTCCTAAACTGGAATGAAAATAGAACAACAGTCTTTCTATGGTTTTTGATGTAATGGTACTCTCTAACTGAAAAAATTCGCCTGAAGCTCTTTTGGGGTTACTACCGGCCGCAAGCCCGGATAAAGGAGGAGCAGGGTTGGACATGGGGGTTAACAATTTCATCCCATAGAAAGCCGACTTGCTAAAAATCGCTAACCACAAATGGTCGGCGACCTATGCTCCATTCAAGGTAGCAAGTAGGCACAGGTAACTCTGGCTGAAGTCAATTAATTGGTAATGAATAATACTCCGTCTTTCGAGGATGCGTACACATATAAAACAAGTGTTATTTTAATTAATATCATCCTAATTAATGCAAATTTCACTGCTTATTTATGGCTCAATCTTATTATTTATTTATCTATTTACTCATCATTCTCAATTATTTATTTTAGGAAGCATTCTATACATAATATTCCCTTTTTCGGTAATTTACTTCGTATTTCTTTCAAGTAGAAGGAAAAACAAAGGAGAAAACTACAATTTTCTAATTTAGGAATTGTTTAAATATTGATTAATTTGAAATATATAGATATATACATATAAATGAATTGAGGTGAAGTTAACTTTGTACTTCAAGGTACAAAAACAAAGGTCATAAATTATCGACTGATTGATTTTCAAAGAATTTCAACTTTTTTTTCGTCTTTTATGAAATTTAAACAAAAAAAACAAAAAGTGATGTCGCGTTACCAAGTTGATAAGAGTAAATAAGTTCAGTTACATATAGAAACAACAATGATTCTTAATAATTTAAATATTTTGTTTTAGGAAATACAAATGTTAGAATACAAGCACAACAAACACTACTAATGAGCTGAATAATACAGCAAGTATAGAGTACCACCCAGTTTAAGATGTAAAAAAGTATTGTGATAATAATAAAAAAATAATGAAAAGTAGATTTACTGTTAGAGTACAACAACCTTACAGAGATGTGTGTCCACATTTATGTGCGTGAACAAGAAACGTCTGTGTAAAAAATATTTATTGGACAGACAGAAAAAACTCAGAATTATACTATTAGGAATTAATTCATGTAAGGCCATGATTGAAATCCGTTTGACAATTATTTTGTTGCAGTATGAGAAATCTCAGCAGTGCACAACATTGATCTCATTGCGGATAGGACCCAGAGTCTTTGGTCTCGTGCATGAACATTACACTTTCAAACTACAAAGACGGAAGCTATTGGTGTGAGTGTCGAACTACAATCAATTTACTGTAGTAGTTACTACGGTAGTTCGCTTCGTTCTACTATGAGTGCGAAACATGGCTAGTAGTCAGAGTAGAAGTTATTCGTAGGTTACTGTTATTCGATCATAGATGTCTTAGAAACATTGCTAGTGTATCATGGGACGACCAAGTAAGCAATGCTGTCGTTAGGAGACGAGTACTAACTAGAGATGGCAAATCAATAGATGAAGTAGTGAAAGTTAATCAGTTGAGGTGGTTAGGACATGTGTTACGAATGCCCAATCACCGACTACCTCGAAGAGCGATGTTTTGTGGTGTAGGAGTAGGTTGGAAGAAAGCTAGGGGGGGCCAAACCAAAACATGGCACATGTCCATAAAGTCACTAACAACTGGATTGAGTCATGTCGACTACCTACCTAGTTGGGGTCCGCGAGATGATAATAATCGATAGTTAGAGACTGTGAGCGACATGGTTCAAAATCGTTTGCAATGGCGCAGATGCATTCACTCGTTGTACTCTATGAAATTCTAATTTTCTGAATTAGTCACCAACTCTACCTTCCTCTTCCTAAACTTATCTCACTGAATTATACTTCTTGAATAATATCTTCGAACCCTAATCTTCTCAATAACCAGTAACACTTCTACTATCTTTACCACTATGGGATTTGAACTGACAATTGTGTCTCTGTGCTAATGTGGTATGGCAACTTGAACTGATGTACTGACATACGAAGTTCTATGTTGTAACTGACTGGCTGAATTTACTATAGTGCTGAACCAACTTATTGAATTCTAGTGAGAAACCAAGGCAAGTGTAGTTTAACCGCATAGAGAGAGGTAGTTACCTACCTAAATTATTAACGGAAGATGGCTACGCAACATCGTGAATTGATTGAAGTTAGACATCACGTGTGAAATCGATCAAAAAGATTCAAAAATCGCCAAGTAACCTCCACTGAGTATTTTTAATCGTTGTCATCTGACACTGTAAGTTATATCACGAAGCTTGCACTTAAAAACGTGACTGATAATAACAGTCAATAACTTTAATCAAACATTTTTCATTTACTCGCTGCATCAAATAGTATTGCATGTTTTGAGTAGACTATATCACAGCATGCGAAAAATGCGTTTCAAACTCATCAATTTATTGACAGTTTTTTATAAATTTATAGATCGCAGAAAGTAGGTGTAATAAACTGAAATAGGTTACAGTCGCATGTTGAATTCAGTGTAAATCTTTACTATTTGCTCTTTCAATGCTTTTGACTTTTCGTAAATTGTATTTTCAATATTCAACTGTTCAGTGCATTCCGTTTTGTTAATTTTCCGTTGCTGTGATGATATAAAGTGCATGCCAATTACAAGTTCTATATTGTTGATGATAATTTTAACGTTATGCATCGCCTGAAGTTTCAAGCTCACGGCCTAGATAGTTCATTTGATGCTATTGTCATATACGAATTATACTATATAAGCAGTTATAATTTAGATACATAATATTACCACAGAACATAGTGGTTTTAAAAGCGTACAGTTACAAAGATTGAACAATTGAGTTTGTCCAAAATTGGACATTCTGCTAAATACGTCTAAGAGTAATAGAATATAAAAATTTAGGAAAAGGCTTTAGCAATTATTTATGGATGAAAACACTTCAATTAACACCTTTTTAAAAATGTTGTACACACAAATCCTTCAAAATAATTGACTTAGAAAGGTATAAGTAAGTATGAAAAATATAACAACCAACCTTCCAGCACCAAACGTGAATACACCACCATCTCGAGTAAGTGCAACTGAATGTACTTCACCACAAGCCAAATAAACAACTTCACAACCACGTAAAGCTTTCACAAAAGTTGGAATAGATACATTACTTTGACTTGTATCGACCGGTGAAAAAGAACGATCTTTCAATTGTTCATCATCAGCACCGGTAATATACTTTGACACCAAATCATTATGATGATCACTTGGTGAAGATCCATAATATGATAAGCCAAGTTGACCATAATTATTAGATCCCCAAGCATAAAGTGAACCACTGACAGTTAAAACAAAACTATGCCAACCGCCTGCAATTATACGTCGGATAGGTAAACCAGAAAGGCATAGAATTTGTTGCGGCATTGATATTGGCTGTTCCGAACTAAAACCCAAGCCTAACTGACCTTTAAGATTGGAACCGAATGCAAAAACACGAGCAGTATCAGTTAAGACAAGGGTATGTTCTACACCTAAACTGGCCTATGAAAGACAGTTAAAAAATTAAGAGTTTACATTTTTAGAAATATTATACAGCAGTATGATTAATCACAGATAATGAAAAAATTAAGAAGAGATTGACTATGAACATGTAACACAATCAAAAACTAGTGTAGCATGCGGTGGCATCCAGGCAATAACGTCTCTGACTGCTGGACTGAGCTATGTCGGTAGGTGCATGCTACAAGGTTGAAGTTTGCGCAATTATTGTAACCAATATTTGAGGATGTTGGGTGATAACACTTACAATAGGAAGCATTTGTAAAGATCCATCTACTTTTACTCTTCTAGTAGATTTTGGGTCTAAAAATTATTTTATACTCGATCTATTCAGCGAATTGTTTCTTTCTTATCGGGAAATATTATCTATGTCTAATCTTTCCTAACAATACCTGATGGGCTACATGATTTTGAGGGAACCAATGATGTCTGAACTTATTACTGGTTCCGTCTACCATGAGATTGCACCACCCGACGTTGCTACCCTGCCTCGTAGAATGGAACTCTAGATCAAAGACTCAGTGAGAGTGAACCCATAAGAAAACCACCTACTTCGTTTCGGGCACACAGACAGTATTTTAGCCTAAACACTATTTCAATGATTTGTGTAGCGCATAAATATTCAGGTGCTTTTCTTGTACTTATATTTACATGCTTAGATAAAAAATAACCAATGCACATATATCCTGTAAACTGTAAGTTGATTGTATAGTTGCGTTTTTTCTGATTTTGTTCAACTTATTTTCCTAATCAATGTGCATATCGGCACAACAAAATGACCAGAGATTAATAAGCCTAACAATTCGATCTTAATCGATTGGAGAATGAGTGACCTACAAATTGATTTTCATCAATTGCCTACCAGATTTTATCATGTTTATTTTGCGTTAATATTTTCTAGTACATACGCGTATAATGTTATGACATCAAAAATATATTCATGTGCCTAGTGGTCTATTTTTAATTTCTAAGCATTTAAGTTTTATATATATATATATATATATATATATATATATATATTAATCGGCTTACGGTTATGATAAAAAGCTATCAAGGAGTAGAAAATCTTTATTAGAATGAGAAAATTTCGATATGCTCGTCAAATGATATGCTTGAAACCTTACTCGGTAAACAGAGCGAAGACAAATGATGCAGTGACACGATAGGCTACTCTTATCCGTTGTCCCCGGCCCGGTTAACTATATCAAGTAGTCTTGATAAGGCGTAGAAAGTGTATTCTACAAGAACCTAGAAAATACGAGGTCGACAAGTACACAAATAGAGCTTATTTACACATGATCGAAACGTCCTTGCGGGAGCCACAAAAACGGCGTACCAAAATAATAAGGCAACCAATGACAGTCAAGGATTTTCCGAGTGGAAAATGTGATCTCAAGGTCACCTGAGTAAATTATGCGCGAAAACATGAAAAATTCACAATTAGGACCTTCTCCCAGTGAGTTCTGGGGATTTAACGTCCCCAACAAGTTTAATCTTAACAACCAGTCCGCTGTATGCAGTAGACGTTACATGTTACCACAATGAATCAATTGGATAAGACAAAAGAACAAGTGATCTTATTACTGACTTACTTATAATTATAACCAGATCAATACAAGCAGTCGGGCAACTTAAATTGAATAAATTTTTTTTGTAATATAAGATTAGTAATATGTTTGTGATGTGAGTCTCCTGACACAATTTACTAATAGACAAGTGACACATAGTAGTACATAGAAATCAACTATACACTGAAAAACAATTTCTTTAACAATAAAACGTAATCGGTAATCAGTCATTTTACAATGAAATAAACACTCACATACATTAATTAATTGAATAAACCAGCAAAACTAGTTGTTTGTTTTTGAAACTAAAAACACCTACCAATCAGCCTGCATATTATATTGAGTAGTAGAGATTACAAACACTTGTACTAACACAATAAAAAAAATATCACATTATGTTTACTTGTTTGCTTAATTTCACATTTAGAATATAATTCACTTCTTCGGTATTGTCTTAAATTTAAATGCACACAATTTATTGTATGATGTTTGAAAGAGTAAACAATATCATAATCATTCTAGTTAAGCTGTTCAACTTTTGTCTGTGAATTTGCACGCTCACATCACGCTACTACTACTACTACTCCCATCCAGTAGTTATCACTAGCTTTCACATATACAGTTTATCTTAAAGTCAAGTAGACAAATTTTCACGTAGTTTTTCTATCTTTTTTAAAGTTCATTTGCAATGATTTGGATCATCCCAGTGTTGATATTTTGACTAAAAAGTCTGATCGATCTTGGTGGGCATACGTACATCCTGTGAGCATTGCATCAATGTAGCCATTATATAGGATATAAACTTGTGTCATAACAGCTACTGCTGAGACAATCCTCACAGGATGCATGTATGTCAAGCAAGACCGGATCAGACTTTAGTTAAAATATCAATAATGAGGTAAATCCAAACAATTAAATTAAAATTTATACGCATTGTAAAAGTGACTGGCTAATCCTGACTCACACATTCTTTCCATCTATTTGATGTCTTTCTTTGTAATCTTTAAGAATAACCTACTATTTTCCTTTGTATCTGTTAAAGTTGACAAGTTTAAATTAATTTTGAGCGGAATTTTTGTCATGGACATAATTTGCGATTAGTTGATACTGACTGTTATAGAAAAGTATGGTTGAAATCTGAAGAAAACTCATGCATGGCATTGTTGGGTCATCATTATTTACCTGAGAAGTATTAAACTGTATTCTTCGACTATCGGTAAGAATTAACTTTATCTTTGCAAAGCCAAACCTCAGAGAAGTAGGGGCAGTAACTGTTTTTAATGGTAAGAGAATAATATTTGGTATTGACGACATGATTCAAGAAAATAATAAATTACGGAAAGAGAAGTCAAAAAACGAGAACTATGGAGAATTAAAAGCTTAGAATTTAAGGGAAGACAAAGGATAGATGAGCTTGCGTTAATGCAAACGATTTTGAGCCATGTCATTGAAAGTTCCTAACACCACTGGTTATGATGATCACGCAGACCCCGATAATGTAGTCTACACCTATTCGTGTGATTCAGTTCAATTGGTAATGACTTCATAGGCTGGTTTCATGTTTCGGTTTGGCAGTAACTCCTAGGTAAATAATGCAGAAGAGACGCTCAACTATTTTATTCCCTATCACTAATTCAAGCGCCGACGTAAGCCAATTCTCAAGTAACACTGCATTTAGAGGCAGAAAACCACATCCCAAGCATGCTGAAATTGTTATCTAGGGTAATCAGAAGACTATATTTTGTCAGTGCCTTCACCAGATAAAACTACACCATCTGCGTCAACAGTTGAATTTGCTGGGAGGTTGGAAAGCTTCTTTTAAGATTAATTTTTATTTAACCTCATGTGAGCTCCGTTCGGTGCAATCGTAGGTAGAAAAAGAAGCCGTATCTCTCCAAGTACATACAGTTCAGTTTAGCCAGATAGCTTACCAGAGAATTTCTATTGGAATCAAGTCTAGAAGGGACGGTTCTAACTTTGTGCTATACTATAATAGGGGGCAACAGGAAATAACGGTGGGGTCCCAGATACACGAATAGTAAGTAGTGCCTGTTCCTTATACTGTCAAGGTGAGGTCAAATCAGTGACTGTACTTGGATCCTGTATGAGCGCTCAGCACGTCAAAGCGTCGGAAATGGTAATTGTTTGAGTAAAGTGAAGTGTGACCTTTTTAGGATGGACTTTTCCTAACCTTTTTTTCGTTGTAAGAAGGCAGCAGAGAAATAGTCTGGTTTTCGAAAGGAAGCAACTTACATCTCTACAACTTTACTTTTGGACCTTAAGTTGCTTTTAGTCTTACCGTCCTCTAACCGACCTACCTGACACGGTTGGAACTAAAAAGACTATTCTTGCAGTTATTATAGCTCGGCTGAGTCATCACGATAGGCAAACCTGACCACTACGTCAAGATAGCAACTACGATCAGGATGATGAAACAACCAAGTGAATGATATTGAGGTTAAGCATACGGCACTATTTAAAGGTACAAGATTTTATGAGGTAGACTTAGGTTGCGCGAAAGCCATTCATCCTATAATTTTAAAATGGTATGGTCAATGTACATTGGTGCCAAACTACATTCATTAATAATTAACCGAATAACTGTTATAGGAATTCGTTGGAGTTCAGTCAAAGGGGCGAACCTCTCTGCCAATATAGACGTACTTCCAAATTATAAACTTTTTTACAATGTACAGTCATGGTTGGTGATGTTTATTCGATAAAAATTAACTTGAATATATTTCAAGAAGGACGCAGTCTTATAACTCAGGAGTATTATTTCAGGTCACAGTTTGAACTGGACTAAACCTTATTCAAAGTAGAATATCTTAATGCGGAAAGTAATCCAATTAGTAGTATGAATGCTGGTGTTTGTAAATTTTCCGATACTCACGTTTTTTCTTTCAAGCCTATTCAGTACCCATGATAGTTGGAAATGTTAACTGGAACTTGAGCTTGATAACGTTTCATAAAGTCTATTCTTCCATCCTAACCACCCTCCTCCGAAATGTATTTTTTATATTTGGTTTCCCTTTGCAGCTGATATTATCTTATATCTTCCGATTTACATTTTATTAATTTTCCGTCTCGGTGAGCTGTTAGGCTTCACAATTAAGACTATTACATATTTTTGCATAGTTTTAAGCTACGTAACTGGTTATGTATTATTTGAATTTCTTGTCAGGGCAAAAGACTGATGAGCGTAATCCTCATTTACACAATGTAGCGCCAACAGGCAAAAGCAACAAATGATATGGATAGAAATTACTAGTAAAAACCAACCTGAACAACTCTATGATCAGATAGTGCTCGAACAAGCTTAACTCCTGTGTCGTCTTCACGACCAAGTTGTCCATTAGAATTACAGCCCCAAGTAAACAGAAGTCCATTATAAGTAATAGCAGCATTATGATATGCTCCACAAGCTACACTGATGATTCTGTACTGTTCTAAAGCAACTACCTGAAGACAGGAAAAAATATCAAGAGTAAGCATTTGGTTTTGAGTATAAGCGAGACAGACAAACCCACCTACATAGTAAATAAATGTAACAACCTATCGGTTTTCATGTGACATTAATCAAGTTAAGGAATGTGAATTTTCGACATTTATGGGGCTAACATTTATATATTGCGTCATGAAAAATATTTTTAAGAAATAAACGTAAATTAATCACCAGTACGAGTATTAAAGTGAGAAATAATTTATTCTGAGCAGACAGTTCTGTTTTCAAAGACTCGAGTTAACAATAACGATTGGATACAAGCTGTTGCAGTTATATGATAGAGATTTCTGATGAAAGAGAAAGATGGAAGATAAATACTGGTAACATTTGACTGCATTTCTCATAACCGAAGGCGAATTAGAGAGAAAACTTTATATGCTCTCAATAACATGTGTAAATGCGGAAAATAATGTCATAAAATATACAAGTCACACATTTTTAAACAAACGGTGTACCCTTGAGATGAGTTTCGTGAAAGCCGGCATGAAGAAAAAAATAATGGCTTGTTAAAATAGGAGCTTGTACGCGGTTACTAGACATAAACGACCGTCATTAATAAATTTCCGCTGAAAATTACAAAATGCTAATAATTATGAAATAAATTAGACATGGATCGAATTGGTTACTGTACCTTTCTATGATTTTAGGTCAATAGAAAAATCCTCTCGAATATGTTCACTTTAGATTGAGTGAGATGTGTATACTGTAGTGTAAACTAACATATCAAGTGAACGTAGCTTGTCCCCCAGCCTTTGGACAAATTAATTAATCTATTCTTCTCAAATTATTCACGTCTTTCGACTTTTTCAATCGTTCACTTATTACCTTGTCACATATCTAGCCTATTTTGGCATGGCTATAACTACTTAGTCATGCTTCATTACATTGGGTTGGCCCACTCACATTCTCCGCTTTATTTTGCTTCGATTAGCTCCGCTTTTACGCTTTCTATTTTTATGCCTGTTTGCTTATTGAAATTATGAAATAAACCCATCCAAAATAAACCGATTTGGGTTTTCTATTATCACTGCTGCACAAAAGGTGGTAACCGAGGCGTAATACACGAAAAATCAAAGGGAAGATTTATTTCATAGCTTATTTAAGTGTTCTTCCAAATTGGAGTCGGATTTCGGGCCATTAAAATGCACGATCTATAAAGCATTTTAATTTACTACTAACTGATTTGAAATAGTTTGAAGAACAATAATTACATGAAATAAAAGCACACGAACATACCCTTCCCAAGTGACCACCAGACTGTCCGTGACCTAACTGCTGAAACTCATTGCACCCACAACTGTATACTTCTCCGTCGATGGTTAGAAAAACCGTATGTGTATATCCACAGCTAATTTGTACAAATTCTGGTAAAAACTGGACATTTAATGCCTTTGGGGTAAGAAGCTGATAGGTATCGGTGTTATCTAAGGTTAGTTGTCCTTCTTCGGACGAACCCCACACGAACAGGCTTTCTGTAGATGAGGATGTCATTAATACGTCTTTACTCTAAAATTGAAGGGATTTTCAAATTAATCCTGGATAAAACAGAAGGGCCAAGTAAAACCTTTTAACACAAGTCTATTTTAAAGCAACAGCAATGGAAAGTATGAAAATAAGTTCAGAATGAAGACAACAGTGAGGATAGTACAGTTGGTTGAGGAAAGGTTCTGAGTGATTCTGAGGGACAAAGATGACGTCTACACGAATGCACCTCAAATGTGTAAAACTAAAATGACTACTTTTTATATTGGCACATCTTACAAGTTAGGTATGGGTATAACAAAAAGTGAATGCACAATATTAAAAACTGATGCGAAAATCTACTTACAATAAAAACAGGATGAATTTACAGTTCATCGTTTTGCTTAAGATATAAAAGTGAAATATACAGATGAAGCTACGTTACGTATAAGTCTATTAAATTGTGAGAATACAACATTTCTCTGAAGCAGAAACCTCAGCTACTGGAATTTCAGAAAGGCTATTACATAATAGTCTCGTAAATAAATTATTTCATGTTCATTCTTCTTATCACAGAATGCACCCCATATTTCTACAACTTCCTTACAATCAAGTGTGTTAATCATGACTGCTTGTATTGTTGAGGTACCGTAACGTGTATCGATATTTCTTGGCCAGTTTTTACGTGTTTTTTTGGTTGGACGATGGACAAAGGATTTCCAAGTCTTAAGACAAAAGCTGTCCTTTAGTACTTTCATGGAAGTATATTTTAAGTTGAAAGTTAAGTTTGAAAATCCTAAATGGAATGAAACAACTACTAATCCCGAATGAATAACTTTTAAATGTTTCTTAAACGCAATAAACACTGTGCTATTAACCAAAGTCGACAGTTTAGAAACAACGAACATGAATAAACAGAGCTGAGCATTCTAGTATACATAAATGTAATTAGCTTAGGGCCACAAATTCGATTTGACGCAAATTATAGTGAAAAAGTGGTTTGGAAATTCAACAAGTTGGTTTTCAGCTTAAGCATAAATAAGTTTACCAGCCGTATTGAACATTTATGAGCATGACTTACACCAGAAAGTTTATTTTTTGCATCAGGTCCTAAAACATCACAATTTTTTAATGAAGCACATATCCCCATACTCGATCGATACTTTGCGGTGAGATAGGACTCACAGCACTGTATATCCTTATGAGCGATATATTCCGTACAAGCTTCAGTTTTTTTACTGAAGATCCATATATATTAGTGGTCAAATTTAACTATGAAGAACCAATCACAATTTCCAAGAGTTCAAGGTCAAAGCATATATGTAGAAAAACGGACTAAATTCAGTGAGGAAAACCAGTTGCCAGTAAACTCATAATTTTTTTACAAAAAGTCGAATTTTAGAGAAAATTCGCCTATATGCACTTGTGTATGTGAAATGGTAATAAAAAAATTCAGGTAGGTACAACGAAATGAAATCCTATTAAAATTTACGTCAAAGAACGAAACTGATCTGAAGAGACTACTTTCCTTTTAAATGAAGTTGACACATAAACAATATACTCCTTTATATCGAGAGTAGTGAAAAGACGGAGTTGATCTGAAAGTCGTGGTGAGCGACCCATACACTACGAACGAACCAACCACTTATCAACTTGTTAAGATATTTATACATGAAAACTAACGAAGTTCGATCTAATTAAAGATTGAGTTAATATAAAGTGACAATCGGAAATAAAGGAGCAGAGGAATATAATACAACTCGGAATAGGTTGTCACTAACCTCAGATACTGTAAGTATCGCTTGATTGAGTAAGAAGGAAATTAACTTTTGTATTACATTTTTCATAACAAAGAAAAGGAAATCCATTGAATAAAAGAGCCCAGTTGCACCAATATTGGTGTGTTCAGTGAATAAATCCTGAGCCTTAAAAATGGATCGAACATTATTGGAGTGGATTCAAGGTGAGGATAAGTTGTTTGTATACATGTAAAATAAACTTAAGTTTTCTAATGGTCAAAGATTTCATAAATCTAAGAATTCATCTTTAACAATTACTAAATGAAGCTTCAAAAGGTACTTAAAGACGAGTCTCGTGATTGGTTACAATCGTTTTTTTGTTGAGCAGAATTTTTTGGTCTCTGAGTCCTTCGCAGCACTTGGTGTTATTCATGAAGCCGTACAGATACATGAAATACCACACCTAATCGCATTGTTTGGTCACACTTTTCATTTATCTAGCTACGCCTACATGCGCAAGTCGATTGGCATACTTAGCAAGATATGATACAACTACCACTAATTAGCACAGTAATTTTCGTTTGGTGGTTTTGGTATTAACCAACCAAACTGCTCCACAATAGTGAGACACAACTGAAGCAGGTCATAATGTTGACCTTAAGATAACTTTGAAGGCTTCGTATTGTAACTGTGAAGAATAAATTCTCAGATTTATAGAAAATTTAATCATTATGAAACTCAAACCTACTTTTGATGTACTTTGAATCCACTCTGATAATCTTCAGTCTCCTAATGTTACATATTTTTGTTTCAATAACCAATTTAGATTTAATTATCCTCGATTAAGTTGAATTTTTATTAATTTACACGTGCATATATATATATATATATATATACCTTGATAAGTACATGTATAACTGTTTTCATTGCGCTAACATAGAGGTTTATATGGACGTACTCTAATTTCCTAAACCATAAAATCCACAAAGGAGACTAACTTTCCAATCTACTCAACAGCAGTTTCACTGAAGCAACTGAGTTGAATTGAGGCAATACTATATATGGTTGTTTGATATTAGAAAATCGATTAAAACTGTTTTATATTTCCACTCTGAAGTTCACTTTCATAATTAAACAGCATTTGCTATATTTTTGTAACTAGTGTCAACCAAATGATGTCGTACAGCTCACCTATGGCTAATTAATTTTCTCAACGTGACAAATTATTCATCTTCTCTTTGAATTTTATAGAAGAGATGGTCCAAGTACTTACAACCTAACCGTAAACCCTTCAATGTTAAAAAAATCCTGCCTTGACGGACCTATATTCTTATAGACGAGATAATAAAGTGATGCTCCTCATATTTCAGGGAGTAATCGACCTATCCATACGGCTACAGAGCATTTCTACATTATAGCTGTTATCAGTTCGAGACAAAAACAATACCATTGCCGAGATACAATTAGAGGACAATCATAAATTTTAGGGTCATTCAAGGGTCCAGAATACGGGTTATATATTTAAATTGGTTAATATGCCCCTCCTTACGATTTAAAAGCATAGTAATCTGAAGACAAAATTACTAGACTTGATAATTTGATAAGAGCATGTACACTTTGCAAGACTTCGTTCTACATAACGCGCTCATTTGTGAGAACTATTGTTTATCCAACTAGGAACTAACTAGAACTAAGCCTTTAGTAAGTGTTCATCTAGCCTGAAGGCAACTTGAGCGTTGGTGATGTGTGAAGAGTGGTGATATAATCTGGGAGAGATAAAAAACGGAAGTGGGACAGAGACTCAGTGAGCACACCAAATACACTTACACTAAGTATTGTTAGCAGTCACCAACAATCAGAAATCACGCAAGCGTAAGATCAAGGCAATCAGAAAATTGGAACTTGAAGTTGCTAGGGCAATATGCTAAAATTATAACTTGCGCGCCTTGCCAATATCCAATAACTTACTCACTAGCTTATACTACTTGATTTTTTTTAACTCGATTCTTGTTCTTTCGATACGGTTCTTAGTATTCGATAATGCCCAATTAATAATTTTCTAGCCAATAGATATCATGTTACTAGGCCGGAGACCAGTTAATTGTAATGTGGAGAATAATAAGGAGCAAAGTTCTAATGCCGATAAGAAAAAGATTTCAGAACTATGTAAATAGATAGATAAACAGGTCACTTAGTTAGTATTGAAGATTGTGTAAGAGGACAAACGCGCAAGCAAGAAGATTAAACAGAGACAATGAGCCATCTAGAATGAGTTAGTAGTCTGAAGAAACGACAGTAGTAACAGGATGCAAGTTTCGAGACATGCATGAGACACAGCTGATCCAAGAGGAAGATGTCAATCTGGATGTGAGCTCGTGATCTTCGATTCTCTTTTTGAAGCTAGTTATCCACCGAATGGTCTGTGGTCAATTTAGCTGGAGGGGCATTTCAAATTGGAACGACTCTTAATAAGAAACATGGGCACTCTTTGGATTTTCGCACCTTGATATGCAGTATTTTGGGGGTTACCTCGAGCTGTGTTTTTGTGATGCTTTGGCAAGATGGATGATTCGCCATACCGAATATGTTTTATAATATTGTCAGATCACCTAGGATTCTTGTGTAACTTAGAGGGGATAATCCCAAGTGTTGAAGCCTACCTTCGTAAGGTTTATACTTCAACCCTGTCGACCACTTAGTTGCTGGTCTCTGCATTCAAACAGAGGGAAGTTGTGACGACATTCTGCAATAGGTTTGGCTGTGCGACTACTTCTCACAGATGTGTGATGAGTCATTAAATGTCTAGCCAACATGGCTTGTCCCACTTGTATTTTGACCTTGTCACCCATTCGTCGCTTGTATACATGTGTGCATGCCTACTCGCTTACTACATGTCTGTCTTATTTTTGTCTGACTATAAATTAATAGTCATGCCTTACCTCTCGGAGTTGGTTTACTAGCCTTCTCCCATTCACCTCGTCCATTCATTCGCCAATTTGCTGGCTTGCTTGCTTTCCGACGCTCGCATGACGATTTTATCTTGTAGTAGTATGCTGATATATTTGTGGTGTGCCGAAAGTAAAAGAAATAGACACTTCGTATTTGCCTTCTGATTTATAACCGTCTAGACGAGTGGATTACGAAGATTAAGAACACTTTGAAAATGGCCACCACAAATTGGTGATTACGACAGCAAATCGAACGAAACCACTAATTGGTAATACCAACGCTGAATTAACGCAGTCATAAAATTACTCACTCCGACGCCGCACATCGACAAAGCATCTCAAGAACTTAATGAGTTCGCTGAACGAGTCAACCAACCAGACTCAATGTACAATGCAGACAACTCACTCTCTTATCGGACAAAAGCAGCAAAGCCACTTCAGTGGTTATATGCACATACAAAAATCGTATTATCTTATTATCATTTCGATTACGTATCAACTCGTTACATGAATTTATTTCTCGTATTATCAAATTATGTTTATTATTATCGTATTAACGTGAAAGAACTATCAAACAAGTAGAATTGTCACACAGGATAGTACCTTAGGTGGTAGCTAGTAGTACTTCCTTGCCGTGCTTCTGTACAAGAGGGATCATTTTCGACCGATCACTAGTAAAGTAACTGTATTTACTTGAATACTTGACAGCATAGTTCGACTCGCCTTTAATATGACGAAGGTCTGTTGTGAACTGAGATATATAGTCAAAATATCTGGACTCCCGTTGTGACTAACGGTAAGGCTCGGTGTGCAAAGCATGCGTTAGGGGCTTATGGTCGGTGAAGAGGATGAAGTTATGACGTTCTACTGCATGCCGGAAATGTTTGATGGCACAGTAGGCTGCCAGCGATCAAAAGCGCTATACCTCGTCTCTGTGGGGGTAAGGCGTCGTGAGAAAAATTCGAGAGGTTGCTAACTCCCAGAGCTGTTTTGTTGCATACCGGCCCTTATGGTGAAATCTGATGCCTCAACCGTTATACCAAGCGTGGCTGATGGATCAGGATGGGCGAGGGGCGATACTTCAGCCAAAGCTTTTGTTAATTTCAGAAAATGCAGTACACTCGGCATCTTTCACTTCTAATATACGTGGAACATCTCGAAGTAGGTCGGTTAGTAGTCGTAACTGCTCTGCCGCGTGAGGAATGAAACATCGGTAGTTGACCATACCGAGAAAAGCCTTCAGTTCTTTGAGTGAAGACGGTACGGTGTACTCAATGGATGTACGTACTTTATCTTCACGAGATAGAATACCCTTATGCTTCATGATGTCTCAAGAATTTTATTCCTGCTTTGTCCAGTTCGCACTTGTCTGGGTTAACTACTATTCCATTGTCCGAAAGGCGTTGGAATAAGAGTGTAAGATTTTGATAATGTTCATCTGCGGTTGATGATGCTATTAGTAGATCAGCAATATAGACGCGAACAAAATCGAAGTCTCGTACTATGCTATCGATAAACCTTCAAAAAGTTTGAGCAGCATTCCGTAATCCAAATGGCATTCGTAGGAACTCAAACAGATCGAAAGGAGTTGTGATAACAGTTTTCTCAATATCTTCAAGAGTGACTGGGATCTGATGATTTGCTCGTACCAGATCAGTCTTCGAATAGATAGTCGTGCCTTTGAGTGATGCCATGATGTTGTGTATGTGGGGGATGGGATAGCTATCGAAACGTGTTACTACGTTTAATGCTCGGTAGTCGCAACATGGCCTCTAACTCATCCGAACCTTTTTGCGAGCCATGTGGAGTGGTGAGGCCCATGGTCTGTGAGAAGGACGAATAATACCTGTAGCTAATAAATTATCAAACCTACATTTAGCCAAAGCTAACTTGTCCGGTGCCAGTCGACGGGATCGTGCCGTAAATGATGGTCTGCTGCTGACGATGTGGGCGGCCAACCTGAGGTTTGGGGCCGATGAGTAAGGCTGCGTTTGTTCGTGGGCTTTGAAGTTTCCCGCCTTGTATGGGCAAGGGGCTCGACAAAGACGGGTGCTCGACCCAAAAGTCTGGTGGAACCATAATCGGCCGGTAATCACTTGTGGCTTGGATGATGCCCGCAGGGAGCAAGTATTTGTAGCATTTTTGACCGCGAGTGGGCTCGTGGGACGTAGGGTTCAGGAA